GTCTGTCGTCAGCTGCTAGTGGATCTAATCTACTTCTGGCGGGACGGCAGGCTCTACTGCGGCCGTCACCACGCCGAGACTCTCAAACCCCGCTGCTGCGCTTGCGACGAGATCATCCTCGCTGATGAGTGCACCGAAGCCGAGGGTAGAGCGTGGCATATGCGCCACTTTGCTTGCCTCGAGTGCGACCGGCAGGTAAGAATGCAGAATAAATATGAATTAAAGATTTATTTTGCATAAAAAAACATTGCAAGTATTGCAATCATCATTTTTATGAGAAAAGTTGAGGTATAATGGAAAAGCGCGTTGTACATTTTTTAATTTCTTGTAAAATTTAAAAAATGTTGATGGAACGTTCTTCCAGAGAACCGTTCATATATCAATAATGATGACTATTCTTATTTCGCGATCACGTTGGGTTTCCTTCACGTTGGAATTTAAAACAGGAGAAAAATGTTTTTCTTGAAAAAGAAGAAATTAATAATAAAACTATATACAAATAAGAAATAAAAATAGACAATTAGAGCCATACGCAGTTGTGTTTTTGCGAATATAATATAATATCACACATAGAAATATGAAAAGTATGATTATATATAATCAAACAACGTTTTGACCCATACTCTGGTTATATTCAGGGATATTTAAAAATAAAGGAATGCTATCGATAAATTTTATGTACAAGTGAGCGAGGTCATTGAGCGCTAAGCTATGCCTTCAGTGGTTATTCCGAGGTTCCATCTGCCATGTTAAAAGCTAAGACAAGCGGAGATAAGCTTTTAAAAATTCTGTATGTTACATATCAATTGAGATCTCCTGATGGCCAGTATTTATAACGGAGATCATGACAAATGATTTTCAAGCAGTTCTATGTTATTATTTTGTTTTGTGTCATTATATATTTTATTTAAGACTACATTCCGTATATTGGACTACATTCCGACATCATTTCAAGATTGGACTTGATAGTGCGTTTATTATTTCTTTCGTTTTAAGTTAATAACTAGATTATTTGTATTTATAAAAGTTCAGATTATAAATATTTTTTCATTAAAAATGTATGAAAAAGTTGTGTTACGTTAATTAATTGAGAGTAGCCTATTTCCTTGTACGTAAAATTTACATATAAATAGCAATACTGTATCATTTGATAGCGATAGCACACACACACACATTCTATAATTAAACTTAAAACAAGAATTTTGTGCCTCGGGTCTTTCACATATACATATTAAACTTTGCCTCGAAAAACGATAAAATGTCTTTGATTACCAGATAGATAAATATATATTTATATATTTATTTGTTTCAAACGCGTGCGAGCAACTAATGAAGATATTCCACATGTCTTAGTTATGAATGCGGGACAAGCAACATAACGGCGCGCGTAACTACTCTCCCCGTACGGAGACTAGGTGCTGCATGATGGAATCGAGTTTATAAACATATAAATGTAGAATACCAGATTTTTTCATAAGACGATTCTCTGTGCTGCGGCGAATCGTTTCGACCTAACGGTACTTGCGAGATCGTACATCGGAAACGCGCGCTGCCAAGTTAATGATTACGTCGCTATCGAATTTACAGCTGCGTAAGCAATTCATAATCCCGCCAGCTGACTCTATCCCCAGATACGTCTTCCGACTTAGATAGCGTCGAAAGGCACAGAAGCAGCACTTGCTTTCCGCCTTATCCGCACTGGTTGTCTTTGGCTTCGGGTGTGAAGTTGTGAATACATTTATCACGCGCGGAGAAGACCTGGGAAAAATTCTAAGTAAGAAAGGGCGGAGGAGATTCTTATTTAAATTTACTCGACGCAATTTACTAAGTGATGATATAAGAGTTATTCTCTCCGGTTGAGAGTGCGGGATAACGTGGTATCTATATCGCGAACGTATGCGAGAAGCGAGAACTCTAAGAAGCTAACGCTTTATCAGATCGCCGCCGTATATGTAGAGTACATGCTCCAGTGAATAACCGGTCACTAGCTATTATCACTGAAGCTATGCTTATTTCTCCGCGTTGAGATAAGACAACTTTGTTCTCCTGTGGTTGAGGAATGCGCTACCGTTTTCCAATGTGATGTATTGCATGATATCCTTTTCTTACAATCCGAGCTTCTTTTACTTTTAAAATTGACGTTTTACGAATTTAAACTCAAATCTTTTTCAATATCTAAGAAATAAAATGATATACAGCCTTGACCAGATATATTAATCATCTATATGTTTTTCATTAATCTGAAATTCTTTTAGACCCAGTTCCACACAACTTATGGTTAACTCTTAACTGAGGTTCAATTTGTTTCTCATCTCTTTCCAATTTTAGAATTAGAAAGAGACAATGAATAAGTTGAACCTCGGTTAAGAGTTAATCGTGTGTCGTGGAACTAGGCCTTACCTGTATTCTGTTCCCTGTTAATTATCGACATTGTACATAAGCTCAAATAGTTCTTAAAATAAAGAATAATTCACAGCCATGAATCAATTACTTTTTAATTAAAACGTTAAATAATGGTTAATAAAGTACATAATATTTTTGGTCAGACTGTACATAAACGACATGTTTATTTATAAAAAAAATTAATGTGTTTCATTCTTTGTGCTCTAATCGCATGTGTCACTAGAATGTACCTGTTTCATCAATGTAAATTAACTTTAATTTCAGTTCAACCTACTCTTTACCTTTTTGTCTCTAGTTCTAAGAATTAGAAAAAGATGAAGGCTAAACTGGACCGAGATTAAAGTTAATCTACATTAGTAGAAACGGGTATTAATCTTTCATTTTTTTAAATCTCATCTTCTGTATATGACTTCCGTTCGTCCTAAATGAGCGATTCACCGTTTCTCAAGATAACTTCAGAAAAGCAAAGACGAACGGATTTTATAAACGAATGTTTACGATCGAACGTGGCAAACATTTTTTTTAACTCTAAAATATTATCGATATGTATATTTTACGTACAAGTGAACGAGTTTATTGAGATACATAATTCATTGAGGATTAAGTTATGCTTTCAGTGCATAACTTAATGCTCAATAAATTATGCATTCAGATCATCAAAAGGTCCACTTTATCATGCTAAAAGGTAAGATAAACGGAGACAAGTTTTTAGAAATTTCGCCTATTATACGTATTGGTTTTCATCTTCTGCAGATAGTCAATGTTATAACAGAGAGAGCAATAAGTAATTTCGATTTTTACACAGAGTTTTGTGTTATTATGTATTTAATTTAAGTGAGGAAACATTCTTCATATCATTTCAGGATTGAATTTAAGTGTGCTTATTCTTTCTTTCCTTTCAAGTTATAATTAGGTTATTTGTATTAGAAAGGTTTTGATTATACACAGGAATATTATACATATGTAATAGCTCGCAGTTCGGAGCTCTAAATGTAATAAAATGGGGTTATCCCCACTTCATTTTTAAACATGAAATTCAAGGGCCTACTGGGTTACGGTTCTATCACTCACTCACGCTACTCACAAAGCGTCGAACGTGTATGGAAAAGATTTTCTGTGCTATTAAGACATTCGCTGTTACATGGTATTTAGTGTAAATATTTTATCATTGAAACTGTGATGTGTTCATTTCTTAGATTTAAGACTGTCTTAAGTAGTTTTTAGATGTAAGTAGTCTTAAGATATCATAAGCCAATCACAGGGCAGTATTAGCATCTTAAGTAATATCTTAAGATGCTAATACTGCTCTGTGATTAACAAATAAAAACTCGCTATATGCATACCGACCTAAAAGTGAAGTATTAATAAAAATTTTGTGTTATATTAAAACAGTGGCCAGTTATTTCCTTGTGCGTAAAATTTATACATTGATAGTATAATATTGTATCACTCAACATTCATAGCGTCCTAAAGTTAATGTATCAAAAGTGATACAATATATTCGATGTAAATTCAGGATTGTTAGTACTGCAGCGCATTGTCCATCTGTTCATTGAAACAGATTTATTCATTCACGTTCATTTTTCCTTGGTCTGATTCCACCTTCGCAGACGTAAATTCACGCAGAGTGCATCTTCTTCTGTTCACAGCTCGGCGGCCAGCGGTATGTGATGCGGGAGGGCCGGCCGTACTGTCTCAGGTGCTTCGACGCTTCCTTCGCTGAGTACTGTGACAGCTGCGGCGAGCCGATCGGCGTCGACCAGGGCCAAATGTCACACGAAGGTCAGCACTGGCACGCGACCGAGGCTTGCTTCTGCTGCGCTACTTGCCGCACTTCTCTTCTGGGCCGGCCGTTCTTGCCGCGACGTGGTGCCATTTACTGCAGCATAGCGTGCAGCAAGGGGGAACCGCCGACGACACCGAGTGACTCCTCCGCCGGGCCGCCCCCGCCCCCGTTGTCCTTCCTCAGGTACATACTCCATGCTCCGCGCGGTCTCTTGCATACCTCCTCGCCTCGAGGCGAGGGTCACGGGGGTTGCTTTCATTGTCCTGCCACCGACTGCGGGGGTTCGCGCACGGATCCGCAAAAATTATAGCCGCCGGTAAAGTCCCGCGATTACGCATGAGCCTACGAGCTGTGTACGCCGCTCCCGAGTTCGCAAGTAACGGAGTTGCACGCCGAGAAATTATTACGGCGGCAATAAATTATACTAATGTAGCCAGCGGTTTCACCATATAACTTGTTTCGCTTTGAAAACGACTGGTCGGAAATGGGAGAATCGTTGAAACTTTGAAATTAAAGTTTGTCGACATTAGTTAAGTAGTCTGGTCTTACGTCTTGTCCGGGTCAGGACTGAAACCGTGATAAATAAGAAATAATTGTCGAATCGTTTATTTAGTCATCTTTAGTTTGCGTTTAAATATTTTAATTTTATTATACAAATGATAGGAAATTATTTAGGTTTTTTATTCGGCTTATGATTTGAGCGATATACATGTTTTAAAAACGATATTCAGGTTAGTATATATTATCGCTAACGAAATCAGCTACTTGGATCATATGCTTGAAGACATGTTAATGCGACACCTATAGAGCGGTGCCTTTCGTGGTTGAATTTAAATTCGGCTTATATACATAACGACCTCGTTTCGGAGGCGCGCACAAGGAGGGCTGAATGTCGCATTTAAATTTCATTATGCATCTAATTGTCGAAAATTTTTAGCATGGTGTAAATGTATAATTTAAATTCAAAACTAGAAGTAATTAGTCACACACTCTGTAATATAATTGTTTGACGAAATAAAAATTTTAATCATTTTTATCTTTGATACATAGCGTGTTTTAATTAATTAAAATGTGAAAAAGATAGAATATCAAGAAATAGGTTATTATAATTAGATATTTTTTTTATGACATAGCAGTCAAAATTATATTTTTAATTATATCAAATGTCATGACTTTTATGTATATTCTCTTTTTTAACAAATTATATGATAAAATCTAATATTTTTTTATTTTTTAGGAGTGGTAGGAGGCAGACGATGGCCACGAGCGAGGGTTCGTCGAGTCCACCTCCACCGCCTCCACCTCCGCTTCCTCCAGGTTCTAGGCATACCCTCGGATCTCCTAGGAACTCGCCTCGAATGACCAGAAGACATCAACAAATTTCCGCTTCCTTGGCAACAACGCCTACCCAGAGTACCCAGAATGCTCTGAGCCCCGAGTTTGGCGCGGAAGGACTTCCTTCCAGCGGTTCCAGACCCAGTGGTCTCGATAGGGTACTTTTGGAGCGAAATCTTGAGAGACTATTACAGGAACGCAGCTCTCATCCTGACGAAAACTGTAGTGAGTTGGGAAGGTACGTCACTTTACTAGTTTACGAAAGTTCGAATTAACAGCACGATCTGAGTACTATTATCTATTTTTTCAAGTGAGTTATAAATATATAGCAGGCAACATTTGAGTTAAAATTTCAAAATGCAACATAAAATAAATAAGAATTCCATTAGAATCTAAAAATGGGAGGTATCTAAAAATCTATTTGTCCTATCTACCCTGTGAATCTAAACAGTGATACTCGAAATTTGCTGCAAATATGATCAATATATACTTTTAACATACACTTTCATTTACTTTTTTATTCAAGAAATGCATTAACACTAAGGGCGGCGAAGTAAAATTTTTCAGTGTATGGAGTTCCCGAGGATAGATTGAGAGAGAGAGAAGAGGAGGGTGCGGGGATAAATACATATATGTCCTCATACATATCTTTTCTACATGGCAAAAGTAGCCGCTCTAATTTTATTTTTTTAAATCAAATTATTATGAGCTCCTCCATATTTAACTTATCGACCATTTCTCAATAAATGTACTTTTTAAATGTCTTAAATAAGAAAATGATCTTTTATTCGAACAAGTTGATGTAGGAATCGTTAAAAGAACGCAAATAAATTTTACGTATTCTGGTACAAGATCTCTGATCTCGGAATTGTCATGCAAAAAAAATTGCATTACGTCCTTCAAGCAATGCAGTGGCATTTTTCGTATGTTTGTAATTTCTAGATTGTAAAAAATTGAAAGAAAAAGGGCTATGAGTCTAAGAGTTAGTCGTTAGAAATAGAAATTTAAAAAAAAATCACAGTATAAATATATCATTTAGTCATAATATAAAACTTTAATGTGCCGGCAATAAACAATATAACACAAA